TACCCCCACTATTTATCAAGCTTACTGATGGTTTTAGAAAGATACTAATTATTTTAAGGAAAGTCCCATTTACTCTATACTTTCTAGTGTTAATAGGAATGAGTGTTCAATTTTGTCAAAAGTTTTTTCTGCATTTTTTAAGATAATCACATGAGTTTTGTTTTTATTATTGATATAGTCAATTATGCTAGGTTTCCCTAATATTAACCCAGCCCTTAATTTCTGGTATAAATCCCACTGCTCATAGTGTATGATCTTGTGATATATTGCTGTAATAGCCTTGCTAATATTTTATTTAAAATGTTTCCATCAATAATTCATTAGGGAAATTGACTTATAGTTTTCTTTCTCTGTTTTTGCTCTTCCTGATTTATGCATCAGCCCCATATTTGTGTTGTAAAAAGGAATTTGATATAGAACTTCTTTTTTGACTGTTTTCTGAAATAGTTTATATAGTATTGGAATTAATTCTTCCTTAAGTTTGATAAAATTCACTTGTAAACCCATCTGGTCCTGGAGTTTTTCTTAGGGCACTCATTTATGGCTTATTCAATTTCTTTTTCTGATAGAGTTACTTAAGTAACTTATTTCCTCTTTTGTTAATCTCAGCAGTTTATATTTTTGTAAATATTCATCCATTTCCCTTAGATCAGGGATGTGAAACATGTGGCCTTGAGGCCACATGTGGCCCTCTAGGTCCTCAAGTGCAGCCCTTTTGACTGAATCCAAACTTCACAGAATAAATCCCCTTAATAAAAGGATTTGTTCTGTAAAACTTGGACTCAATCAAAAAGCTACACCCAAGGACCTAGAAGGCCACATGTGGCCACAAGGTGGCAGGTTACCCACCCCTACCTTAGATCATCAGTTTTACTAGCATGTGATTAGGCAAAATAACTCCTAAAAATTGCATTAATTTCATCTTAATTGGTGGTACATTCACCCTTTTATATTTGATGCTGGTAATTTGATTTTCTTTTTTTAAATCAAATCAATCAATGGTTTATCTATTTTATTGCTTTTTTTCCATAAAACTAGATCCTAGTTTTATTGATTAGTTCAATGATTTTTTTAACTTTCAATTTTATTAATCTCTCCTTTGATTTTCAGTATTTCTATTTTGTTGTTTAATTGGAGATTTTTTGTTTTTTTTCTGATTTTTTTAGTTACATGCCCAAGTCCTTGATCTGCTCTCTCTCCCTTTTTTTTCCCTAAGTACTGCTTTAGCTATATCTCACAAATTTTGGTTTGTTGTCTCATTTTCATTCTCTTTAATGAAATTATTGATTGTTTCTGTGATTTGTTCTTTGACCCACATATTCTTTAAGATTAGATTAGTTTCCAATTAATTTTTAATCTATGCTTCCCTGGCCCTTTATTGAATGTAATTTTTATAGCATTATGGTCTGAAAGGCGTGCACTTAATATTTCTTCTTTTTTGCCTTTGTTTAGAAGGTTTTTATGCCCTAATATGTGGTCAATTTTTGTGAGATGTCATGTACACCTCAGAAAAAGTTATACTCTTTTATATTCTCAACCAATTTGCTCCAGAGTTCTGTTATAAATAACTTTCCTAAAATTCTATTCACATCCTTAACTTCTTTCTTACTAATTTTATGGTTAGATTTATCTAGTTCTGAGAGGGGAAAGTTGAGGTCCCTCACTAGTATACTTCTATTCATTTCCTCCTGTAATTCATTTAACTTTTCCTTTAAGAATTTGGATGCTATATCATTTTGGTACCTAAATATTTAGTATTGATATTAGTTCATTGTCTTATGGTACCTTTTAGCAAAATGTAGTTTATCTACTTATCTGTTTTTATTAGGTCTATTTTTGTTTTTGCTTTATCTAAGATCATGATTGCTACTGGGTTTTTTTTTTCTTTTTTACCTCAGCATAATAGATTCTGCTCCTGCTCCTTATTTTTAGACTGTTTATCTTTCGGTTTCAAGTGTGTTTCTTATAAACAACATATTGCCGAATTCTGTTTTTTAGTCCATTCTCTTTCTGTTTTATGGATGAGTTTATCCTATTCATATTAAGAGTTATGATCACTGTGCATTTCCCTCCATCCTATTTTTTCCTAGTTCATCACTCTTCCTCTCTGTCTTTTTACCCTGTCCCTTCTGACCACTGCCTTCCTTAATTCACCCTCCCTTCTATCAGCCCCACCCCATTCTTTTTTACCTTCTCCTCCTACTTCTTTGTAGAGTAAGATAGATTTCTATACCCAACTGAGTGTGTATGTTATTCCATATATGTTGGATTTTGCCCCCAAGGTTAAGAGGGCATTGTTTGAAGCTTCAGGTTGTTCATGCAGTTGTTTACAGAGCTATTTTGGGGGGTCTGTAAGTTTTCTGTGCTTCCAAGGCAGTATGCTCTAAAGAGAGGTGTGGTCACTGTTCTCCTGGCCTGTACTCTGGTCTTTACCCAGGAAGGCACCTTGTTAGGCACAAGTGCTAGCACTCCTCTTGGCCTTGCAACTGTGACCAGGTCCCCTCCTCTCCTGCAGCTACAAGTACTAGTGCTCCTTTTTGTGTTGAAACTGAAACCTGGGTCCCTGCTCCCCTGTGAACAACCACAAGCACTCTTCTCTGTCCTAGTACTTTGAAGTAGAACTCCATACTGGCAATGAAACAGGGTCCTGAAGCCAGGACCAACAAAGGGTCCCTTGTAATCTCTTTTTGACCAGTTGTCTACCCCCCTTGCCGTATGTGGGCTAACTCCCAAAGTTGTTGCCGCTGCTGATGCAGCCACCTCCAAGTTGCTGGCATTGTTGCAACAAGGTTTGTGCTGTGTTCCAGGCCCAATCATCACCCCAGTGTGAGAGACTTTTCCTTATGACCCCCTAAGTTATCTTGGGCTGGGAAATTGTTTCACCCTGACTTTTTGTTGGTTCAACTGCTCCAGAATTTGATTTGAGGAGTTAATTTAAAGTTGTTTGGAGGGGGATGTGGGAGAATACAGGTGAATTCCCGCCTTTACTCTATCATCTTGACTCCACCTCCTGTATAGATGTTTTTTTTTCAAAAACACTCACTACAGTTAAAGAAAATTAATATGAGTCCCCAGTATGTTTGAGTAAATTAGTCAAGGTTAGAAAATGGAATAAAAATTCCATTTTAGTTCCATTCTGAGCTAATATGGCACATAAAAATTCTCTACATTATCTGATAGAACTTTGGGGAGTATGAAAAAATTCCTCCCAGAATCCTCTGAGATCTTCTAAGATGTGATTATTCTATAAAGGCCTACATGGAAGAATCTAGCCTCTTGACCCATGAAGGGAGTCTGATCGATTATATCCAGGAATTATATGTTTCTGTTAAATACAGAAGCATGACTTCCTTGAGGAGCTCACAGTAATCATCAACACACAGCAAATCAAATGGAAATCTTCCCAGTTTTGCTAGACCATGTTTCCTGTTAGGTATTTAAAAGCATCTCTGTTTGCTTGCCAACTCATAAACACTTGTCAGTCATGTTCTTAACAAGGTTACCAGGTCAGAACTGTCTGGGTTTATTTTTTAAGGTAGTTAAACAAGCAGGCAGAGACTTGTCCAGTTAGTGTGTCATGTCTCATCCTAGTATCATTTTTGTCCCTCCCCACCCCCACTCTAATGGAATGCTTTCTGACAATAGGCTCAGAAAACACCATAGAATATCTTCACTTTTTATAAAGTATCACACTGTCAGTTTTTCTTTTGCCATTTTAAGGTGAGAACTTGACACTAGAGGTATTAAATCTTGTAATCTGATAGTTTATGTATCGTTCAAATTCTACTCCAACCTCACCTAACCTCTTTGTTAAGAAATGTCTCTATAAACCCATAAGTGAACAATATACTAGACAGAAAAAAATTTACCCTGGAGCTTCATTGCAATGCTGTCCTTGGGATTCATGTTAAAACCACCACCCAATAATGATAATTTTACTATTTTTCAATGACTAATTTACAAAGGGTCCAAGACAGGCCCACTTTATGCTGTATTCCATCTTACTGAGAATAGTTTTATATAACATTGGGTCACGTGGCCTCTCTTCTGTTTCCATCTTTAAGAAACCATCTGGGTTTCACCGAAAAAATATATTTGGTTCTGAGCTGTTAGTATTCTTAAAAGTGGTATACTTTCTCAGGGGAAACTAGCCTTAGAATTCCTAAACTAATGTGTCTTTGCTGAGGTTCCATATAGATCCCAAGTTAACTGACTTGATATGGGAAATAACAGCTAATCAGTGTTCAAACCTTTCCTAATGTTTCCTATATATCTTGCATATCAATTACCTTTAAATGTGATAGTTGCATGAGATAGAGTTGATGAAGTCCCACAAAGAGTCTATAAAAAATGGATTATATGATCCCTGGAAGTTTCTTTCAGTCCCAACACAATATATTTCTAGGATTCTGTACTAACCTATATACTACCAGCACCCCATATTTCTTCCTAGTACCTGCTGCTTGCCTGATGACCATTTCACTGCTTATTAATTCTTATATCATGAAAGAGAAGGAAAAGGAGTTCAAACCAATCATTTTCTCTGCCCTTTACTAACTTTTACAACAAATATTCAACAAGGAGTTACAAAGTTGAAAGACAAGGAGTAAAGGATATTTAGAATTATCTTAAATTCTCAAATACTCACATTCTGCAAGTCCCCTCTCCTTAAGTCTTCTTGATAATGGGAAAAAAAAAATACTCAGCTAATTTCCAAACAAACTTTTTCCTCAGTCATTATATACACCCTCTTTTCCCAACATATCTTTTCACCAGAGTGGCTCCCAAGCATCAGAATTGAACAGTTTGGATTGAATCTGTTTTCGTTATTTTCTAGTAAAAGTTCTAATGAGCTGAATGAATCAAGAAAGAAATGCTAAAGGGAGAGGATAATGTACAGACTGAAAAATGTGTCCTTGAACAACTGAGAGTTGACTGTGCTGGGTATTTGCAGAGACAATGTAGATGATAATGATGATCATCCAAATGGTGTTTTTCAGTGTTCTGCTGACTGTGGAGTAGGAACACAGAGGAGAACAGTGACATGCACCAACTCCCAAGGAAAATGCGATCGAACCACCAGGCCAAAAGCAGAGGAGGAGTGTGAAGACTACACAGGCTGCTATGAGTGGAAAACAGGGGACTGGTCTAAGGTAACATAAGCCATGTTTGCAATCCAATCCCTCTACAGCAGCATGAGGGAATTGGAGGTCAAGAACTCAGCTTGTTTAATGGGCCCCTAATTTCATGAAGCAATTCCATTGAACCAGTACAATGCATTTCTTTCCAAACTTAGCACCTGCCATTGACCCTACCACTACTACAGTACATTGCTTGCCTCTCCCACAGAACTGTGCTTAACAACATCTCCCTAAATGAATTTCACTTTATGTGAATTAGAAAGGAAACTTAATACAACCCAAAACATGAAGTTGGATATTTGAGAATGCCAATTTGGCCATCCCATGCACAATAGCGGCTATAAGCCATGATGCATACAGAGGTGGGCTTAAATTTCTAAGCCATCACGAGAGCCTAATAAATGTGTGTGAAAATTGGCTGAGTTAGACATGTAAGGAAATCTTTAGGACATGAATCAAACCTCTTCACTGCTTAGAACACTACAGGTCAATGCCAAGAAAATGGAAGGAGGGAGGGGAGTAGTTGAAGTTGTGATGATGAGAGTGGGGTTATGGGGAGGGAAGAAATGCTATTATAAAATAGGAGCCATATAATCCTTTTTCCTTCCAAGGTAGAACAGTCATAGGCCTCTGTGGGAAAGAAGGGATTTCATCATTCTTGTTATCAGATGTGACATTAATTCATATCATGAAACCAGAAGGAAGGCATGTACAGCTTGTAAGAACAACCCAGTGTAGTGGTTAGTTTTCCCAAAATCAGAAGTCACAAAATGAGAATGGATTTTGTTTACTTGCTACTATCACCAGCAGTACCATCCTTTGTTATAGAAAAAGGAGGATAATAAGTGTTAGAAGTGTTTTGTGTGTTGGAAAGTAGGGAGTAAGAAAAAAAAGAGATCTTGGTCTCAGTCAAGACAAGATCTTTTCTGAAACCCTTAGACTGTTCAGTTTAATAACTATGCCCATAATTTCACAAGATCAGGCCTATTTGATCACTTTTATTTATCAAAATACATATGTCCAATAGCAGCCAAAGCATATAGACTCATTTTGTTTCATTTCACTCAACATAAAAAGATTTCCATTTTTCTGCTTGTGTTTTGTTCATCCTTACTAAAATGTAGCTTTCATTTAACACTACACTAATAAGACAAAAATTACACCATTAACAATAGCAATTCCATTTCACTGATTATTGCAGAAGTAATTCTGAGCAAAGTAATCCTAACCCATTGGAAAAGTAGTGAAAAAAAATTTCTTGAGTAGTTAAGACCTATTTATGATTTAAATTAAGTTTAGCATGTACTTAATTACAAAAAAAATTAGTTTTAATATTAATTATAGTTATATTATGAACAAAAACTTCATTCTTAGGTCTCACTCAAGAAAAATATATTTTATGAATAACAAATATTCTTACCACATAACACGCAAAGTGATATAGTAAGAAGAACACTGGACTAGCAAAGAGAAAATGGGTCTAGTCCTGCTCCTATTACTTGTTACCTGTAAGACTTCAGACAAGTCTCTGAGCCTCATTTGACTCATCTGTAAAAAAACTACAATGGATGATAACTTTTACCCATTCACAAGGTCATTTTGAGATCCCTCAGAAAGCTTATAATCTAATGTAAGGGAAAGGGGGAGACATACAAGTTAGAATATGATAAAAAACAGAAATTATAACAAGAAGGAACCTTAGGGATAATCTGACCTAAATGCCTCATTTACAAAATGAGAAAACTGAGGCTCAAAATGGAAAAACAAAATTATTTTCTCAATGTCACATGTATACTTAGTAGCAGAGTCAATATCCAAATCCAAATCTTCTAAATAAAACCATTGTTCTTTCCATTATACCACACTTCAGTGTTATAAGATCAGATGAGGGAGAAGAGTCTATCTGAGTAGTGAACAAAATGTTAACTAGTGGGATTGGTAGGAAAGGACTATAGTATTATCACTGGCTATATGACCCTGGGCAAGTCACTTAACCCTGTTTGTCTCAGTTTCCTCATCTGTAAAATGAGCTGGAGAAAGAAATGGCAAACCACTCCAGAATCTTTGTCCCCCCCCAAAAAAATAGGGTCACAAAGAGTAAATGACCTAAAAACCATACCATTTTACCTTTTACACTGTTGACTTTGTGGTGGCAGAAAAGACTAACATTTCTCAGGAATATTTTCATCCAAATGCGTTTAATCTTATCAGTAGAGCTGTGCCAGCCTATAAACAAAGCTTCCTTGTACCCAAGAATCTCATCATGTACTCCAAACCAACTTGATACAGACCCATAATATGACTTTGCCAAATTCAGCTAAAGTTATCATTACTGATTATAATCTAGTAAAAACTGGAGTATTTTCTTTACCCATTTAGATTTTAATTAGGTAAAAAAAATTGTGATTATCTTCCCTTAGCATATGTGTCTAAAGCTGGTGATACTGATGTAAGAAAGTGCATTAGGAGACACCCACATGGAGTATGTATATATTTATTTAGAGCCAAGAATTTATATCATAGAATTTTTTAAAGCATTCGTCATTACATGACTGCACTTCCCAGAGATACGGCCAAAACAAACCTAATGGGTGAAATAACGTCTTTTAGAATCTTACTATTTTCCAAGTATGAATTTTAATAGAACAGCATGTACTGATCAGGCACAAGAAAGGAAGAAGTCAATTTACCTATTATAAATGTTCAACATTGAATATTGCCCAGTAAGATTCTAAATTGATTAATAAGGAGTTTGGTCACCAAATAAATGGAAATGAGAAGAGTTGATGACAAGCTGATGATATAACTCCAAGTCTGACTTTAGCCTCCTCAGCTCTTGTTGGTAATAGACATGGAGAGGAAGGATAGTGTCATCATGTCTGGCCAACATCCTCTCTGCTACAATACCCTATAGCCAGGCCAGCGGCCATGAGACCAAAAGAGATCCCCAATTGCCATTATAATCACTTGGGACAAGAGAGAAGAGCGTCAAGGAAATGAAAAAAATGTCAAATTCAAGATTACATAAAGGATGTTACAAGAAAACTGAACTGTCCAGTTTTCTTCTCTGTGACTTGGTTTATTCAGCTATAAAATTGCCACAGTACGCTCTGCTCCCTAACTTACTGAGGACAAGGTATAATGATAGTGTAATAGAATAAGTAGTTATAGAGATAGAGGTCTTGGGTTTGTGCACACATCCATATATGATTTATGTGTATATGTATACATATATATTAATATCTATAGATATATAGGTGAAATAAAAGGCCTAATTCTACTAAAAGCAAATCCACATATAGAATAAATCCTGTAAGGAGTTATAAATTAGTAGTAGTCATCAACTTTCTCACATCAATGGACCATCATTTCCTCTTAAGAAGGATATGGGTCTCTACTTTGAGCATTAAAAGGCTTTATCCAGCCAATCAACAAACATTTATTAAGCATATACTGTGTGCCAGGGACTGTGCTAAATACTGGGGATACAAAGAAAGGCAAGAAAATAGTCCTTGTCCTCAAGGAACTTACATGCTAATTGGGAAGGCATAACAGCTGATCATCTCACTTGTATACCTCTCACTGACTATCAGCACCCCAGAAACAATTTCATACTACAAAATGTTTTGCTGGAGTATGTCATTACATATTGCAATGATGTATTTAAAAACTGACCACCAATAAATGTAAAGTATTAAAATGTCATTTGTATTATTATTACTCATTCAAAAGGCATTTATTAAGTGCTTACCATGCAGGCAAAAATAGCCACTGCCCTCAAGGAACTTCTATTTGAATGGGAGAGATCACATGTAAATTACTAGGATACACACATATATGGAGAAAGAGACAATGCAAATTAATCTTAGAGAAGAAAGTACTAGCAGTGGGGACTAGAAAAGGCCTCCTTTGCCAGTGGAAAGCAGAAAGTGGGAATTCAACTGAGTCTTTTTTTTTATTTTTGCTTCTTGGCGAGGCAATTGGGGTTAAGTGACTTGCCTAAGGTCACACAGCTAGTAAGTGTCAAGTGTCTGAGGCTGTATGTGAACTCAGGTCCTCCTGACTCCAAGGCCAGAGCTCTATCCACTGCACCACCTAGCTGCCCCTTCAGCTGAGTCTTAAAGCCAAGGAAAGACAGAAGAGGAAATAAGGAGGAAGAGGAGCATTCCAAGTATGGGGAACAACCAGTGAAAAGGCAAGGGATTCAGGGGTGAGGAACCTGCAGCTTCGAGACCACATGTGGCCCTCGAGGTCCTCAACTGCAGCCCTTTGACTGAATCCAAATTTCACAGAACAAATCCCCTTAATAAAAGGATTTGTTCTATAAAACTTGTAAAACCTAATCATTAGTAGAGGTATCATATGCAAGGAACAGTATAAAGGTAGGCTAACATGTATCTGGACCATAGAATGCATGAAGGGGAGTAACATTACTAAGAAGTTTCAAAGGTATCTGGGGTGTGAAGAGCTTTACATGTCAAACAGTAACGTTGTATTTCACCTTGGAGATAATTGGGAGCTGCTAGAGTGACATGGTTGACATATTCTTTAGATAAGCTACAGCCAAAGTCAGTCAATAAATATTAAGCACCTACTTATTGTATGTCAGGCACTCTGCTCTATGCTGAGAATTCAAAGCAAGGCAAAGACAGCCCCTGCTCTCAAGAAGCTAAGGTCTAATAAGGGAGATGACATGCAAACAATTATGTGTGAACAAGGCCTATACAGGATAAATTGAAAATAATCAACAGCGGAAAGGCAGTAGAATTTAAGAGGAATCAGGAAAGGCTTCCTATCAAAGGTGAGATTTTACCTTGGAATTGAAGGAAGCTTTGAGGCAGAGATAAGGAGGGGGAGAGCATTCCAGGCATGGGAGATAACCAGTGAAAATGCCTGGCATCCAACAATGCAATGCCTTGTTTGAGGGTAAGCAAGAAAGCCAGTGTCATTGAGTAACAAAGTACCTACTAGGGTGCAAGGTGTGGGAAACGGGGTGGGAGCAATATGAAGGG